GGCTCACGCTGTCTCTGGGCTCACGTGCCCTGCTCGAACCTGTTTCCCTACCTGGAAAATGAGAGTGAGGCAGGGAAGGTGTTGTCCAGCTGCGAACACACAGTATGTGCTCACGGAATTCTGCAGGTGGCCTTGGCAGGGAATGTGTGTGTGGTCGCCAACCCTGGCTCCCCATCTCGTTAATTGGCGCCTTGGCCGGGCCTCTCTTTCAGCCTCATAAATTATCCAGCCCCTGACAACAGGCGCTGCGCCTCCATGCCTTCCTCCCGGGCTGACCGCCAAGGCTCAGGGCTGGCGCGGCCTCGGGTGGGGAAACCGAGGCTCAGAGAGCCTGGACAGCGATGGGGGTGGAGTAGTGGGTGGGGCTTGTCAGCGCAGCACAGAGGCTCCTGGTCCCAGAGCCAATCCTGTCCCTCACAACAATCTAAAAAACGATTCCTGAGCCATAAATGTATTTTCACACACAAATGAAATCACCATGATCGGAATAATCTCTTTAAGAACTTTCCGATCCTGCTTCAGATCCACACGTACATCCCGAAAGAGCCCTGTGTGGCTCTCAAGCCACAGCGATCTGGCCCTGCTCTAAGGCAACATTCCTTCTGCAGCCTCTGTTCCGGCTTGTGCTTGAATGCCGCCAGGGACGGGGCGCCCTCTCCCTGAACAGCCCCTGTGCGGTGTTTGTGGATACTTCTGCAGGTTCTGTCGGGCCTTGGGCCACTGCCCCGGCTCTGACCTCCCTGGGTCATGGTCCCCTCTGTCCCCCACCCCCAGACACTACTCACACACCCAGGGTTCTCTCCTGACCCTCTACCCATGCCTGGGAACAAACCTTTGGCCTGGGGGAGTCTGGTGGCTGGCACCAAGGGCTCTGGCCACAGGGGCAGTTTCCAGTCCTCCTGCTCAGTACAGGTGATAGTCCTGTGTCAAGTTGCCCCGGCATGGTCTCCCAATCCCTCCCACATTGGCCGGGAGGGTCAGGGACTGTCCACAGCAGTGCTGGGCATCCTCAGACCAATCCTCGCCCTCTCAGTGCCGGTAGCAGGCGTGGGGCCCAGCCGCCCAGCAGGCGGGGGGCCTGCTCTGAAGCCTGGGGTCTCCAGGTTCTAGAATGCCAAGCGGGTGGTGGGGGGGGAGGGGTTGGGAACCTTCAGGCAGGAGGGGGCGGCTGTAATTTGTTTGGAACCCTGGCTTGAGACATTGCCCCCTCAGGTCTGCATAGCTTTGAAGGTTGGGGAGCACTGATGCGGGGTGCCGGGAACCAGCCTCCCTCCACGCCACCCCGATGGAATGTTTGCTTGGGTTCCCAAGGCCCAGTCCCGCCCCCCCACCCCCACGTGATTTTCCCTCTCATCACCAGCCCTCCCTGCCACCTCCTCATCCACCCATCTGTCATGAAGTCATCCCCACCCCCACTGACCCGCGTCTGCCTGTCCCTATGTCCTGGGTCCACCCAGCCACTCCGAGTGACCACTCTGCCTTCCAGAAGCCTGGACTCCTGCCTGGGGCCTGCCCCCGCCAAGCCAGGGACCAGCCGCACCCTGCAAGCCTCAGTTTGCTCCTCTTGGAAACGGGCGCTAACTCCCTCTCTGTTCTTGAGCCGCTCAGTCCCGGTCCCTGTGGTGGGTGCTGGGGTGGGGTGGGCCCCAGCCTGAGGGCTTCGAAGCTCTTAGTGGACCCTCAGCTGGCCCTGCTCGGCCTCAGTTCCCTGAGCCTCAGAGTGACGTCGGCTAAGCACCCAGCCATACCCTGTAGTCTGCTCTGCGGGGTCTGGGCTAAGAAAGGCTCCCACTAATGGTGGCCCATGGGTGCAGGTCTCCAAACCCCTGGTGGCCTCAGACACCCCACCACCCCCGGCCAACACACGCAGGCCA